GCCTGTGCCCAGCCCCACGCTGACTCTCACTCACTCCCCCCTCCCAGCCTGTGCCCGGTGCCATGCTCACTCCCCACCAACAGCGTGTTCTCACCCGCACGATTTTGTGCCCCTCACTTTTTATTTAGTGCAGGTGGGATCAGACACCGTGCATGGGGTCAGCGACTCGTGTGTTCGTGTGACGATGACATGGTGGCGTTTTTCTCTCCAGATCCGTTCGCTTGCTCATTCTCGGGGAGTATATTTATCAAGAGCCCGTTGCTCTGGTGCTGTTCTAGGCATAGCAAAACTGGCTTCATTCACATGGAGCTTTGATTCTGGTGGTGGGGACAGGTAGACAGAAAAGAGCAAAAGAGTAAGCACGTGGGCTGATGATATTGAAGAGAAACAGAGCAGAGTTGGGGTGGGTCCAGAGCCGAGTGGGCAGGGCCCAGGACGGGAACGCTGAGTTGGAGGGGAAGCCATAGCAGGTGCAGCGGAGCAAGCGAGGAGGCGAGTGTGGGGTGGTGGGGCCGACTCCTGGGAGTGACTGCAGAATGGAGAGCTGGTGAGGTTTGCTGTGGTTGTGGGTGACTCGGTGCTGTGAGCCCTGGCTGCCCTTGGGAACCACCTGGAGAGCTTCTGACCCCACCAGGCCCCTCCCTGGAACAGTTCCATCATAGCGGGTAAGTTGAATCTAACACTTTGATGGACGCACTGAAGATCTGAAACAGCAAGGTGACGGTGGAGAAGGACAAAGCTGGAGCACCTTGTTGGGTTCAAGACTCTTCTAAAGCTGCGGGAGTTGAGTGGAGACTGCCTGGCTCAAGCGCAGGCCTGTGCGGAAGACAGAAACTCAAGTGGACCCACAGCCTGTGCAGAAGACAGACAAACTCAAGCGGACCCACAGCCTGTGCAGAAGACAGAAACTCAAGCGGATCCACAGCCTGTGCAGAAGACAGACAGAAACTCAAGCAGACCCACAGCCTGTGGTGACTGGTGTTTTGTTTCCTTTGGAATCTTGCTGTGTCACCCAGTGGAGCACAGCGGCTGGATCCCGGCTCACTGCAGCCTCTGCCCCCTGGGTTCAAGCAGTTCTCCCACATCAGCCTCCCGAGTAGCTAGGATTCAGGGCCTGCCACCATGCCTGGCCCATGGTGATTGTTTTTGACAGACACACCAATGTAATTCAGAGAGGAAATGAACACTGTTTTTTTGTTTTCTGAAAAAGTGGTGCTAGAACAGCTGGATATCTGTTTGGAAAACAGTGAATCTTAGCTCTTACTTTATTCTGTATAAATCTAAGTGTAAAAGCTGAACTAAAAGTTCTAGAAAGAAACATGAGAGGTCCTTGCAGCTTTGGGGTAGGCAAAGATTTCTTAGCGTAGACACTTTTCTTTATGGCACTAGCCATAAATTCGGGAGGGGTGAAGGGTGGGGAGGGGTAACGTGGAGAAATGCCAGATGTAGCATGCACCTATGCAACAGCCCTCATGACCTGCACATGTGCCCCAGAACCTAAAGTAAAATTTAAAAAAAAGGAAAAAAGACACTAAAATTTGGACTTCACCAAAATTTGAAGCTTCAATTCTTTGGAGGAGTTAAGAAAATTAAAGAGCCGGGCGCGGTGGCTCAAGCCTGTAATCCCAGCACTTCGGGAGGCCGAGGCGGGTGGATCACGAGGTCAAGAGATCGAGACCATCCTGGTCAACATGGTGAAACCCCGTCTCTACTAAAACTACAAAAAATCAGCTGGGCTTGGTGGCGCGTGCCTGTAATCCCAGCGACTCAGGAGGCTGAGGCCGGAGAATTGCCTGAACCCAGGAGGCGGAGGTTGTGAGCCGAGATCGCGCCACTGCACTCCAGCCCGGGTAACATGAGTGAAACTCCGTCTCAAAAAAAAGAAAAAAGGAAATTAAAGAGCAGTTACAGAAAAGGAGAAAATGCTTCTGTCTTTCAAAGGACTTAAAAAATTTTTTCAACTCTCCTTTGATTTCTTTGTTTTTTGTTTGTTTTTTGACACAATGTTTCCCTCTGTCACCCTGGCTGGAGTGCAGTGGCAAGATCTCGGCTCACTGCAACCTCCGCCTCCTGGGTTCAAGTGATTCTCCTGCCTCATCCTCCCAAGGAGGAGCTGAGACTACAGGCATGTGCCACCACGCCTGGCTAATTTTTTTGTATTTTTAGTAGAGATGGGGTTTCACCATACTGGCCAGGCTGGTTTCAAACTCCTGACCTTGTGATCTGCCCACATTGGCCTCCCAAACTGCTGGGATTATAGGCATGAGCCACCGTGCCTGGCCCCTCCTCTTTGATTTCAAAGGACCTTTGACCAGAGTATGTAAAATTCTCTTATAACTAAGCAGACAACCCAGTTAACCACGGGGAAAGGACCTGGACAGACGTTTCACCAAGAGGGACGGAATGACCAGTTGTGCATATGAAAGTTCATGCAGCGTCTCTAGTCGTAGGAGAAAGCAGCTTAAGGCCGCAGTGAGCCAGCGCTGCAGTCCCACCACAGGGCTGGAATTCCGGACCCTTGAGTCTCACGTGAGGCGCTGCAGCCCCGCCACACGGCCGGAATTCCGGACACCTGAGCGTCACGTGAGGAGCTGCAGCCCTACCACACGGCCGGAATTCTGGACACCTGAGCATTACGTGGGGTTGTGGAACAGCTAGAGTCCCCTCCATTGCTGGTGAGGCGTGAGGCAGCCACTCCACAAACGTGTGCCAAACAGCCGAGCCGGGGAAGGGAGGATATGTTCAGAGATTTGTATGTGCTCCAGGCTCAGGGGCTCACGCCTGTAATCCCAGAACTCTAGGGGCCAAGGCTGGAGATCGCTTAGCCCGGGAGTTTGAGACCAGCCTGGGCAATATAGGGAGACCATCTCAAAAAAAAAAAAAAAAAAAACCTGAATGTGCAGGTTTACCAGAGCTTTGTTTACAGTTGCCAAAACTGGGAAGCAACTCATGTGAGCCCATCCACAGGTGAATGGACAAACCGTGGTGGTCGAACACCAGCAGCGGCCCACGGGTGTGGACTGTGGTCGCACAGCAGGGAGCCGATGAGTCCCAGACGTGCTAACTAACCCAAAGAAGCCAACTGAGGAGGATCTCCTGTTTCTTATTTTGAGATGGAGTCTTGCTTTGTCGCCCAAGCTGGAGTGTGGCGGTGCGATCTCAGCTCACTGAAGCCTCTGCTTCTCGGGTTCAAGCGATTCTTCTGCCTCAGCCTCCCAAGTAGCTGGGATTATAGGTGCACACCACCACACCTGGCTAATTTTTGTATTTTTGGTAGAGACAGGGTTTTACCATGTTGGCCAGGCCGGGCTTGAACTCCTGACCTTGCGATCTGCCTGCCTTGGCCTCCCAAAGTGCTGGGATTACAGTTGTGAACCACCACGGCTGGCAGGACCTACTGCTTTATTCCATTTGTATGATGCACTGTTAATAGAAAAGGCGGTGGTGGGCTGGTGGTTTTACAGTGTGCATTACTGCCGGACTGCCGGAACTCAGTACACTTACAATGGGAATCTTGATGTGTGAAAATTTAAAAATACCAAAGCTGGATCCCACTCCACATTGCTCCCATGACACTCTGTGGGTGGGACCCGGGAGCTGGATTTTTAATCTCCCTGAGTGTGTGCCAGGGCAGAGAACTGCTGGGTTTGGGTCTTGGCTCCTCCACACCTGTGGCTGCCTGATTGCGGTGTCCTGGGGCTCCCAGGGCGTTGTGGCCGTCTTGCTGAGCATTGCATGTGCCTTTTCGTGCTGCCCATGAGCGTCTCCCCCGTGGTAAGCTGCTGATTAGCGTGGCGTGGTGCTACTAGGTTGCCATCCAGATCTGGCCCTCCCGACAGACGAGAGGCCGCCTCTGGACTTCGCCGGCGCCATGCATAGTCTGTGTGTGTGATGTCTGGTGCCTGCCACACATGTCTTGGTTTCCCTCTTTCCCTGTCTCCTTGAGCCTGCGCCCACAGGGGCCCCGTCCCGCTCCGCCCCAGCGCTCCATCCCCTCTGTTCTCCTTGTAGAGCCGCCGAGCCCACAGCATTGACCTGAAGGGAACGGTCGTGATCTTTGATGAAGCTCACAACGTGGTGAGTCTCCATTGGCCTCCCGAGCACCTCGTATCTCTCCTGGCTTCTCTGTCAAGAGCAACCTCTCTGGAGGGGCTATGGCCAAACCCCTGAAGCCCTGGGTACCCAGGACTGAGCACACCAGGAGCTTCTGCCACGCCTCCTGCTCTGCTCTGATACCTCTACTGGGGCTGGAGACTGGCCAGCTGGGCCAAGGACCACCATCTTAGGCACAGACCCCTACAAGCTGCTCACTGGACCCCTTCCCTCCAGCCAGCTGGGGGTTAGCCTGGGCCAGGGCTGTCTCCTCTGCCCTTGGCTTCTGTCACCAGGGCAGCAGCAGGGGTGTGGTCTTTCCCGCACCATCTCTGCCTTTCAGGCTGTGTGGGCTGACCCTTGGGAGGGCTGTTGTGGAAACAGCCGTGCACCCCTGTGGTTGCAGCTGCGGGAGTGGCTTCTAAGAGGCCCTCCCAGCCCCACCTGCTGGCTCTAGCACCCTCCCACTCTGGCTCCCACTCCCACCCCACCTCTGTGGCCGCTGCTTGCCACTGCCCTGTGGATCCAGGAATGGTGCTGGAGAAGGGCCCCTGGGGCCAGCTGTGCCGGACACTCCCAAGCCTAGGATGAGGCTCCCCATTGCGGGGCCCCGGGCTCGGGTCTCAAGTGACCACCCTCAGCCCCCACTTAGTTCCAGGCACTTGTTGCCATGTGAGATGGTAGACCAGGTCTCCTGACTTGAGAGAAAGCCAGGAATCTAGATTTTAATTAAGAAATGTTGGCGCCGGGCGCGGTGGCTCAAGCCTGTAATCCCAGCACTTTGGGAGGCCGAGGCGGGTGGATCACGAGGTCAAGAGATCGAGACCATCCTGGTCAACATGGTGAAACCCCATCTCTACTAAA